AGGCGGCGAGCGCCCCCGAGGAGGGGGCGGCCTGCGGCGCCGACGAGACGGGGCCGCGGCCTGGCGCGGCCGGGGCGAGCGCCCTCGGGGCGGCCCGCGACACCGCTCTGGCGGCGGACGCCTCATGGGGCGGACGACGCTGGCTGGGCGCCGGGGGCCGAGGCTACGCGCCGCGGCCGGCAGCGCTTGGCCTTGGCGGCATGCAGCTGGCGCCGCGGGCGGCCCCCGGCAGCGGCCAGCGCTGACGGCGGCGCGGGGCCGGGCGCCGGACGCCCAGGTACGGCGGCTGCAGCGGGCGCTGGCGGCGCCGCAGCGAGCGCCTCCTCGGGTGCGCCGCCGCGCCACCCGCGAGCGCTCCCCGCGGGGGGGGGGGGCGGCCCGGGCCGCGGCGCCGGCGGAAGCGGCGGTGGAGCTGCGAGCGCTGGCCTCGGAGCGGCGCGCGCAGGGCCCCTGGACGGCTGAGCGCGGGCCCCCGCCCACGCGCGCTGGGCGTGCCCACGCGGAGCAAGCTGGGCGAGGTCCAGCAGCGGCTCGCGGCCGAGCTCTCGGACCTCGACGGCGCGGCGCTGCGCCGCGTCGTGGCCCGGGCGGCCGCGTGCGCCGCGCCGGGCAGGCCTGCGGGCTCGCCGGCGCCGCCGGTGCGGCTCCGCCGCTCCGCGGGCTGCGCCATGCGCTGCTGCCGCGGCGGGGCGCTTTGCGCGGCCGCCCCCCCCCGCCGGCGCTGGGTGAGGCCCGGGCGCGTGCCTATAGCGCGTGCGCCCCCCCACCCCCCCTCTCATGTGGAAGAGTAGAAGAGACGATACAAAAGAAACAACAATGTGATAGTGCTGCAATTTTTCCTCGCCCCGTGTACTGAATCTACCGGCCTAAACCAGTGAACAACACCTGAGCCTTGAGCCCTCCCTCCCCCCTCGCCGCCCCCCCTCCTGCGCCGCCTCCGTCTGGCGTCCGTCGCCCGTCGCTCGTCCGTCGTGCCGTCCGCCGCGGGGCTCCGCCCTCGCGGGCTAGGAATGGGAGGTGTGTCGCTCCGAGGTGCGGCGTGCCAGAACGGGCGGCGCGACACGCCGAGCCAGACTTCCCGACCGTATAAGCTGACGAGTGCTGATACATCGGGCACCGAGCTCTATTCAAGGGGCCCCAGGACACACAAAAATCAATACACACAAATAAAAAATAGTCCCCACAGTTTCCCATACGTTCTGGGTTTTTTGTCTTCCCCCCACTTCCCATATTTTCGCATATTTTCTGGGGGATCGACGATGATTTGTGTCTGTGTGTTTTCCCCCTCTTGATCTATACACCAACGCTTTTTCCGGCCCTGCATTGACATTTGCATTGGGGAGCAGGTTCTGGTGTATACGGGACCCTGGTGTATATATACTTCGTTGTTTCCCCGGGACATCGGGGAAACAAGCATATACACCACACCATCCCGACGTCGTCCCCGACCCTCAAAAAAGTCCTGGGGTTGAAAAACAGCCCGCCACTGGTAATGTATATGTTCCAGTTTCCGAATCAAGTTATCGAGGTCGGACTCCTGCAGCTGCTCGAGCCTCCCCGAGCCCAGCGCCAGGGCGATGGCCTCGGCACCCTCGTCGCCCAGCCTCGCGCTGCATCTTCGCGGGACCTTGTCTGTCCCGTCGCGCCCCATCCGCATCGAGTCCGCGTCGAATCCATGTCGAATCCGCGTCGAATCCACTCGAATCCATGTCGAATCCGCGTCGAATCCACACCAGATCCGCGTCGAGATCGCATCGAGCCCGCGTCGGGCACGAGAGAAGACACCAGTTTAGGGGACAGACTAGGCCCCCCCAAAGATACAACGTAACAGCCTGTGAAGACGAAGCCAGGACCAGGACAACATCGGTGGACCAGGACAAGTCGAGGATCTCTGAGATCTGACCCTCCCTCCTCTCCTATCATCGTTCCTCCTCCTCCTCCTCCTCCTTCTCCTCCTCCTCCTCCTCCTCCTCCTGGTGCCCCTCATCCTCCTCCTCCTCCTCCGCTTGCCCCTGGCACGTGCTTGTCGCGGCTGGCACATTCGCCATGCGTTTGGCATGTCCTCTCGTCGATTGCATGCGATCGCTTGCCTGCTGCATTCTGCTGAGGCGCCGTGTCCCGTGCTGGCGCATGGCCGTTCCAGAGCGCTCTGGAACGCTCTGGGAGCGCTCCGGAAAGCTTCAGAACGACTTCTCCGGGTCATACCCTGAGATCCGACGTCGCGAAAAAAAATGCCATCGCGCAGAAGCGACCCGAGCCCTATAGACCTTTTTTTTGTGGCACTGTTCGAGCTGGATCGACCTGCGAGGGTCCTGGGGCCAGAAACTGGGCGGAAACGCCCAGCGCGAACAGACATCCGACGCCCGGACCTCAGGGCTGGGAAGGCTCCGGGACGCGCACAGACCCCCCACCAGCAGGCAGTCCCATGCAGCTGGCCTCCACGGGCTCCCAGATTGGCCCCGTTGCAGCTGGCCTCAACGGGCCCTTCGAGCAGTCCGGGGTGGTCTCACCACCGCAACCCAGGGGCGCGAAGCGCCCCAGGCGCGCCGCCCAGGGCGGCGTCAGGGTCGTCCGACCGCCCTGGACCATGCTCGCGGGGCCCGTTGACGCCAGCTGGGACCAGCCGGGGCTGCCCGGCGGGGGGGCCGTCCGCGCACACCCCGAAGCTAAGTCTATACCACTCGGGGCCCAGCCCCGCGCGAGGAGGAGGAGGAGGAGGAGGAGGAGGAGGAGGAGGAGGAGGAGGAGCAGGAGGAGGAGGAGCGGCCTGTTGCCGCAGATGGCGAGGGAGGCGAGGTGCGCGGCGCACCCAGACTCGGCCACCCGGGCCAGGGCCTCGGCCGCAGCCTGCCCGCGGGCGCCGTCCCAGCCCAGGCTCTGGTACTCCAGGGCCTGGGTGCTCTGCAGCCGATGATGGAAGGCCTCCCGGTACAGCGCCTCCACGAGGCCCCTGCTAGAGGAAAGGGAACTATATGCACACGCACCGATTCTGGCCAGGCCCGACCCTGAGCCCCGGATCGGTGCATGCGCCCTCTCACCTTAGCCAGGAAGGTATACGCACCGATCCTGGGTCAAGGATGGGCGTTGTCAGGATCGGTGCAGGTGCATACTGCAGGTCCGTGCCGTGTCGACCCTGGCGTTGGTTCCTGACACCGCGCTGGATCGTTCAACCTTGAACGATCGGCCGTCTCCGCAACGTCCGATCGTTCAACATCGACCGATTCTGGGTCGCCCGCGGCGTTCAACGTTGAACGCCGCTGGCGGGGTCGCCGCCGGTCGACACGACGCAAACCTACCGTATACGCACCGATCCTGGGTCAAGGATGGGCGTTGTCAGGATCGGTGCAGGTGCATAGTTCTCCTCGCCCGACCTGTCCCTCTCCTCGGAGCAGGGCGAACTCACTGAGGATCTGGGCGTTGCAGGTTGTCTTGCATCGGGCCCCTGGACCGTCACGGGTCGATCCGGCTCGGAACATGGCGCAGAGAGATGGGGTGCGGGGCTCTGGTCGTGCTGTTCTGCGACGTTGCAGTTTTTTCGCAACGACGGATCTCAGGGTTGCGGCAACGTCAGATCAAAATCAGTACCTGGACTCCTCCTGGGGCCCAGGCGCACCACTTTTCCGAGCTGCGTCCAGCATAGGCGGCGAAGGCCCCCCCCCGAAGGCCTGCTACCGCTGTCTCGCTTCGCCCTCCTCTGATCTCCGGGCTCGAGAACGACAGCTTCTCCAGCCGCGCCCGGAAGGCGTCTGGGAGCTCCAGGGCCTGCCACTTCTTCGGGCAGCGATTCTGCCACTCGGAGCCCCTGTGGGAGACGTTCCCGCCGCCCTCGTGCTCCGAGCGCCGGAACGCGCGCTCCGCATGGCCGTCGTTCTCGGAAAGGACCCTGCCCAGATCCAGCACCCGCGACGGAGCCTTCACCATCATCGCCAGCCCCGCCTCGCACGCGCACCAGCCGCGCTCCAGGTACTCCCTGCTGCTGACCTCAGAATCGTCGAATATGTAGTCAGCGTGCGACATGGAGAGCATGAGCACGAGTGTAGACTGGTGGGAGAAGAAGTGCCCGATGAACTTTAGGGCGTCCCCGAACAGCCTCGTCTCCTCGGGCTCGAGGCGGGTCATCCCTGCGAGCCGGATCCTCCTCTCCTCGTCGCTCTCTCCTAGCCTCGGCTCGGCGTGATGGGGGGACCGGGTCTGGTTTCGGCAGTCCTTCACATAGATGGCGTCCCCGGGAGGCTCGTCGTTCCCCTGCGGCATGACCTTGCACTCTTTGCCCGTCCCGTCGACCTTCCAGTTGTCTGCTAGCATACAGACATCAGACTGCCCGAGCTTCCTCCAGACCTCTGCCAAGTTCTCCTTCACCTCCTCGTGGGTCGCCAGCCGCCAGTCCGCTGGAAGCTGCGCGCCGCCCTCTTTCTGGAGCGCTGCCATCAGGCTGCTCTTCTTCTCGAATGTGAGCTTCGCCTGGTAGATGGCCTGGTGCAGGGAGCAATAGTCGTAGAGCACCCCCCAGCCGGGGCCGCACCACGGCTCCATCTTGGGGTCGCCCTCGCGCAGCAGGTGCTTCAGGGCATCCTTCAGCACGTGGAGGTTTATGCCCCTCGGATCTGGGTGCTCGGGGTGCAGCCAGCAGTGCGAGACGCACGCGATCCGGAGGATGGACGGGTGCGTGGCGCTCTTCACCTCGCTCCGAGACCGGAACGCCTCGTCGGGCAGCGTCTGCCGCGGGCCCAGCCGCATGGACCTGGGAGGGAGGCAAAAGGTACCGATACTGGGACTCTCCAGATCCCTCCGGGGGCACATTCTGACCAGACTCTCGAGGGAAATCCAGCCGTGGCGGCGAGGGCTCTCCAGGACGAGCAGCGGTATCGGTACAGTCCCTAGAGGGACAGAAGAGCAGACTACAAAAGCATGAGCCCCTCCGCTGGCAGAGAAACCCCGAAACATCAGGTCACCAAGGACCCCCCTCCGGGGAGGCACCCAATTTGAACTGCCTGCGGGCCTATCCAGGAAGCCGTGGTAACACCCCAGCCCGGAAGCCTAGTCTTCCTGGAACGGACGGACGCCGGTCAAACTGCAGAAGATTCGACGGTGCCCTTCCCCAGGCTGCACGGGAGCATGCGAAAGAAGGCGAAGAGCCCTAGCGGTACCCTCTCCCAACCGAGCAGGCTCTGTGACGCCTCGCTCCGACGCGAGGTCTCCCTTGACGAACCAACAACACACACCCATATCCATAGGGGGGTCGGAGAGGGCTATGGGCGCGTGTTGTCGGATGGGGGTCCCCGCTCGAACGGGAGCGTTCCCCAGGGTCCGACAACCCGCACCCATACCCATAGCCAGTCCTCCTCCCAACGACCCCCCTATGGGTATGGGTGTGCATTGTTCGTTCGTCATCCCTCCTCCGAGACCTCTGCGCCCACGCGTCCGACTTCTTCACGCGCGTGCTGCCGCCCTGCTCCGCCAGCCACCCCGCGTCCAGGAGCAGCACGGCCTTGCTCGCCAGCGGCGGCTCGAGCTCCGCCCCGCCCAGCAGCCCCCAGTTCGCCAGGGCGGCGTCTGGGACGTTCCTGCCGCGCTCGTCGCTCTCCAGATCCGGCAGGTGCGGCCTCCCGGGGTGGACGAGAGGGGGGTCGGGGTCCTCCTCCTCCTCCTCCTCCTCCTCCTCCTCCTCCTCCTCCTTCTCCTCCTCCTCCTCCTACTCCTCCCCCTCCTCCTGCTCCTCCTCCTCCTCCTCCTCCTCCTTCTCCTCCTCCTCCTCCTCCGCCTCCTCCTCCTCCTCCTCGTCAAGCTAGGTGCGCTCGCGCCAAATCTGACGTCCTGCCCGGCCCTCCCGTGCCTTTGCCATTGCGTAGAGCCCTCTCTCTGTTCGCAACGTCAGGTGCTGTCGAGTGCGAGGGCACGCGATGCGCACCATCGCACAGCATTGCGCAGTCTAGCGCTGCGTGTCATAACGTTTCATATCACAGCGTTGCATATCACAGCATTGCAGAGCAAGGTATGTAATCTCAAGATAGCAGCACATAGCAAATCATCGAATGCCACACCGTGGCTGCATGAGCGGTGCAGCTGGAAAGCCATGCTGGAGGATCGAGAATTTGGAGACGCGACTGGTGCTGAAGCGAAAACACCATTCGGGAGGACCGAGAAAGCGGGAATGAGACCAACGCTGCAGCGGGAGCATCATTCGGAGGGACTGAAAACGTTGAAATGAGACGAGCGCTGCAGCGTGAACACGATTTTGAAGGATCAGAAGCGCGGAAATGAGACCAGAACAGGAGCGAGAACACCACTTTCAAGGAGCCAAGCACGATCGGATTGTGAAAACCGATGGTGAAGACAAACTTTCAAAATCCTGCATGTGAGAAAGCTATGCGGAGAGGGCGGAGCATCTTCCAGAAATAATCAAGGGAAAGACCTGAGATCCAGGCGTTGCAGATTGTCCGCGCTGGACGTTTTCGCAGAGTTTCAGGCATCGTGACTACCACATATCGACCCTGCTCGAAAAACGCAGGAGAAAGATGAAGTCTTAAACTCTGTTCGTGATGTTTCGCGATGCTGTTCCCAACCTAAATGTCGTGAGGTCCGCGTTTTGAAAAGACAGCGCCCCGCATCTCCTCATCCTCCTCCTCCTCGTCCTCCTCCTCCTCCTGCTCATCTCCTCTCCTTTCCTCTCCTCTCCTCCCCTGTCCTCTCCTCTCTTCTCCTCTCCTTGCTTCTCATCTCCTCTCCTCCGTCCTCATTCTCCTGCTCTCCTCTCCTCCTGCCTCTCCCTCCTCTGCCCTCTGCACCCAATACAGCGCTTCGTGGCCCCATAGGGAGCTGCACCGAAGGCCCCAGTGGCGGTGTTCGCATGCGTCTCCTCTTCCCAGTAGAGCGCTTCGTGGCCCCATAGAGAGCTCCACCGAAGGCCTGAGTGGCGGCGTTCGCATGCGTCTCCCCCACCTAATACGATGCTTCGTGCCCCCATGGGGGGCCCCACCGAAGGCCCCAGTGGCGGTGTTCGCATGCGTCTCCCCTATCCAAGACAGCGGTTCGTGGCCCTATAGGGAGCTCCACCGAAGGCCTGAGTGTCGGTGTTCGCATGCGACCCCCCCACCCAGCACATCGCTTCGTTACCCCATAGGAAGCTCCTCCGAAGGCTCCAGTGGCAGTGTTCGCATGCGTCTACCCCACCCAATACAACGTTTCGTGGCCCCACAGGGAACTCTACTGAAGGCCCCAATGGCGGTGTTCGCATGCGTCTCCCCCGCCCGGTACAACGTTTCGTGGCCCCATAGGGAGCTCCACCGAAGGCCCCATTGTCGGTGTTCGCATGCGTTTCTCCGGCTCAGTACAACGATTCGTAACCCCGTATTGGGAGCTCCACCGAAGGCCCCAATGCGTCTCCCCCACCTAGTACAACGTTTCGTGGCCCTATAGGGAGCTGCACCGAAGGCCCCAGTGGCGGTGTTCGCATGCGTCTCCTCTTCCCAGTACAGCGCTTCGTGGCCCCATAGAGAGCTCCACCGACGGCCTGAGTGTCGGTGTTCGCATGCGTCTCCCCCATCCAGTACAACGTTTTGTGGCCCCATGGGGAGCTCCACCGAAGGCCTGAGTGTCGGTGTTCGCATGCGACTCCCCCGCCTAGCAGAAAGGAGCTCCACCGAAGGCCCCAGTAGCGGGCCCGCCCAATTGCGGCGCACTCTTCACACGCTTCGCGGCTCAATAGTGGGTTCCACCTAAAGCACCAGTGGCAGCGCCCACATGGCGGCCCCGCCCCATATGGGCACACCCTTCGCATGCTTCATGGCCCCATGAAGGGATCCCCCGAAAGCGATCCCCGCAACGACGGCATTCACAGCTGCATATGGCTGAGTCCTTCACGAATTGCTTCAGGGGGTCCGTCCGTGAGTGCACCATCGCCGATGCTGAATACAAAAACCCAGGAGCTGCATCACCCGAAGGGGGAGGGGGGTAGCGAAGGGGGCGTTGGTCCTCCCGGCGCCCCAGGGCGACGGAGGCGGCCATGCGTGGCGGAACCGTGCCCGGCGCCGGTGCCGAAAGGAGCTGTACGTGCGGCCAGCTCCGGAGACCAAAAGGCGGGGGAGCGGTGCGGCCTCCCACAGTGCGGCGCGCTACGGCTATGCCGGCGAGGCTGGTCCGCGAGCCTGCCCGCGCTGTCCCACAGGGGGCGTGCGCCTCAGCGCGGCCGGCGCCCACGCCTCGACAATGGGCTGCCCCGGGCCCAGAACACACTGACCGCGCTGGCCACACTGCCCGGCCGGGCTCTGGGATCCGCCCCCCCCCCCGCCCCGCCCCCACCTGCCCACCTCTGCCGCCAAGCCCCTTCCCTCGGCTTGCTCGCAGGAGTTTACCGGCCTGGAACATGTCCCTATCCCTACGCCGGGCACCTCCTCATCACGAGATGCCAATCTTAGGGATTGCCTTATTGTTGGAGGGCGAACCCCTGAGATTGTCATCGCCTCTTGGCGTGTCAAGCTTAGGGATAGGGATGCGTTCGAGGCTGGTAAGGAGTGGCCTTGGGCAGGAGCGGCCTCCGGCTCGCGGCCACTCCGGGGGCCGCGGGGGCAACCACTCCGAGAGCGCGCGGGCCAGCGCGGGGGGGGGGGGGGGGGGCCCCTGTGGGCCCACGCCTCGGATGTCACTCCGTCGAAGGGTCACCCTGACTCGGGGATGGACTGACCCCCCTTTAGTCAAACGTGGCTTAGCGAAAACGACCTGAGGCCCAAACCTGGCGGGCGCAAGCCTGGAAAATAGTGGCCACGGCGCCCTCTCGAGAACCGAAAACGGACAATTCACTAATCGACGTGTCACTGTTGGGGGTTCTGTCCGCCCCCGACTGACGCGTACAGTCGGGGCGTTGACCTAAGGAACGGAAAATAAGGAACGAGGGCCCTTAGTCCCATACATTGAACTCCGACCTTCCAGGGAAAACCTCAGGCAAACCCAAGGAGCACTGTAAAGCAACTAAGGAATACGGGGCCCCTCCCCAACAAAAAAGGTTCCTTCTTCAGGGCCCCGACTGTAGCCGACCCCTCTCGTGCACCCCGAGCCTCGGACTTGCCGGCGCCTCCCGCTCCGCTGCGACGTCCACGCCCGCCTCCGCGGCCTGCGCCCCGATGTGTGCGGCCTGCTCCACGTGCACGTGCTGCGCCATCGCCTGCGTGAGGTGCCTCGCGCCCTTTGCTGTCGCCTCCGAGGTCTGCCTCGCGCTGGCTGCCAGCGCCTCCAGGCCCGTCTCGGCGCTCTGCGCTATGGTGTCCAGCTGCGCGCTTGTCTGCTCCGGAATGCCCACGGATCGCGTCCTGCGGCCCCGGCTCGAGGAGCAGCCCATGGCTCGGGAGCGGCCAGGAGGGGGGTGTCCAAGAGGGGGGGGTGCAGGTCATGACCGGCGGCATGTGCGCGGCCCAGCGGGGGGGCCGGGGGCGTAATGAAACAAGAAGAGGCGCCGTGAAATCTGGGGGAATATCATGGCCCCCGCCATGAGATCCACCCCCCCCTGGTCATCACCCCCCTCTTTGCCGCCCCCGGATGGCAGGAGGCGAGGGCTGCCGAGGGAGCACCGGGAGAGAAGCCCCGGGCTGTGCCTGGCTGTGCCTGGCTGCCACGGGCCAGCGGGCGCACGCACGCAGGGAGGCCAGGGAACAGGCGAGCTGGCGAGCGACCAGACGACGATGCAAGCGCAGGAACGGCGGCGAGGGCGCGAGTTACGATGGAGGGGAAGGCGCGAACAAACCCTCGGGCGTGGCTGCAGCCTTCGAGCGAGCAGCAGCTCGGTGGACACCCACACACACACACACGCACACACAAACACACACACACACACATCTACACACATATGTATATATAATAATAATAATAACAATAATAATAACAATAATAATAATAGTAATAATAATAGTAATAATAATAATAATACTACTAATAATAATAATAAAAATAATAAAAACAAATATAATATAATAATAATAGTAATAATACTAATAATACACACACGGTCGCACGCACGCACGCACGCACGCACGCACGCACGCACACACACAGTCACACACACAGACACACACACACACATGAAACACACTTAGCAACGCAGACACAAGGAAAGTGAGGCCAATTCGCTTCCCATGCCCGCGGTATTGCAGCCCTGTCTGTAGCTCGTGGCAGTAACAGCGCAAGCTGAGACTATCCAAGCGGCGCGGCTGCCTCACGAATCGTAGCTGCATCGGTTCTCTGATCTGGCCCCTAATCCCCCACGAAAGAGCATGCACAGCAATAGACATGGACCACCATGACAACGCGTCCTCGCCGTGTGGTTGGGCTTCGATGCTTCGGCATTGAAGCGCTAGAGGTTGTCTTGGCAAAGTATTTCCTGCTCCCAGCTGGGAGCACCGCATGAATTCGACAGTATTTCTACACGAACAACACGTACCTGCAGGTTTTCACAAAGTATGCCTTTCGGACTCGGGCCATTTCTAGATGGCAGCGGCAATGACCGCACGGACAGCAGCCGGCCCTGGGCTGGACTCTACCTCTCTTCTTCCTGGCCCGACGGAAGTCCAGGGCGGCGTGGCTTTCTCCAGGGACCGTCCTGGCTCCGCCGGCGGGGCGCACACACCGCCTTTCACGAGGTGCCCTGGGAAGGCCGGCCGGCGTCCGCGGGATTCACCTTCCCCAGCCGGCCGGCTTGGGCAAGACTTGAGACAAGGCGTGATCTTCCTCAATTTCGCGTTCTTCATCTGGGGCGCCATCCGGCGCTCCTCTCGGACATTGACCGTTCGGCGTCCGTTGGTTGGAGTATTCTGCCCGGCTGAACGGGGCATGGCTTCCGGGGAGGCGTGTTCTTCCAATTCTACGTCCTCTTCTCTTCGCTCCTCGACGCCGTCTGCGTGCAGTCGGCGTTACTCTCGGACAGTGGCCGTTCGGCGCCGGTCGAACGGGACAGGACTTCGTGGCGTGGTGTTCAACATTACGCCCTTGTCTCCGCGATCCTCGTCGCCTTCTGCGTGCAGTTGGCGTTGCTCAAAGAAATTTCGGCGACCTTCCAGTCGCTCGCACTTGCACGCTCAGCCTCCGGCCACCTGTGCCGGTAGAGTCGGACAGGGCGGAGTTCTATCGAGCTCGTCAGCCCTTTTTTTGTTGTTGTTTGGGGTGTAAGACCGTGCTTCGCACCGACATCTTGCCTCATCTACACACCTATCAGCAATAGACATGATCGACAACGACAAGCGCAGTGCCCTCCCCCTGAAGCAAGCGCGAGCGGACCTCATCGTCGTCCAGGATAATAACCTCACACGGAGGATGCAGGGAAGAGGAGGCAAGAATGCCCCCGATCAGTCGTCTCTAGAATCAGCTCAGACAATCTGATCTTCAGGGCGTGGGACATGTCTTCGCTTGACCACGCACAAAGCACATAACAATGGTGCACGTAGCAATGGCGGGCGCTCGCGCGGGTCGATATGAGGGCAACGCTTCGCATTGAACGCAATGCTCCCTCTATATTTCTCGCCAAATGTGCGGCATTTGATAAACACTCGAAAGGGTATCCGCCATATTTTGCGATGCCCACAAGGGATGCCGTGCGCAAAACCCCTCCCGCACATGGCGGATTCCGGTCGCGACGACGCCGGATGGCTGGCTTCCGACGCCGCATGGGATCGCTCAACCCTGAGCGATCGCGGCTTTCCGACGGCGCAGATCGCTCGATGTCGGCCGACTTTGGGCCACTGGGACCCGGGGGGCCCCGTCAGGGCCCCCTTGTGTCAGGGGGACGTAAGACCTGGGTATAGGGGACTCGGAAATCCCCGACGAGGTCGTCAAAAAAATGACGAGGCCGAGCCTGCATTTTGACGAGGCCTCCCGCTGCAGACATCCCACGAAACTCCTCCTCGTCAAAATCCGAGGCGCGGTCGTCAAAAAACGATGGCGAACCCGAGTCCTGGCAAACCCGGGTCTTACGCTCCCCCGATTGTGGGCCCCTTTCCTGCAGCCCTCGGTCCCCTCTCGCATTTCTGCTGTTTCTTGTGTTTCCGGCTGCGGGGCCCTACACGCTCCGCCGTCCTGCTGCATCGTCCGAGCCGGATCGGACTGCGAGGGGTCCTGGGGACCGAACGTCGGCGAGGAAGCCCTGGGAGACAAAACAAAATGCACCTCTAGGATCTCGGGGCAGCGCCGCGAGCACACGCTGCCGTGATTCCCCGATTCGCGCCAGCACTTCCAGGGCAGCGTTTCATACACAGGCTCTTGCGAAATATAGGGTTTTAACACGTGGTTAATTCATGAATGCATGCACGCATGAACTCATCGTTGTTTTTTGTACCAAATCCCTGCATCTTCAATACGTGATCCGCACGCGGAGCAGGTCTTAAAAACGGCACTGCACGTGCTCGTTTTCCAGCATCTGGGTTGGCATGCCGCCCCGGCCGGCCCGTGTCCGCCCCGTCGCCGCCCCGTCGCCGCCCCGCCGCCGCCCGCCGCCCGCCGCCCGTCTGGGCCCGTGTGCTGGTACTCCAGATTTCGTAATAAAAGGGAGGGGGTCTGGACCCTCCAAGACGAGCCATTTCAGACCTCCCCCGTGGGAGAACCCTCCAAAACATCGTCCCCAGACCCCCCGAGGCCCTCCAAGATAGCCTGGAAGAGACCCCCCCCCGAAATGAGACCCCCCTCCCTTTATTACGAAATCTGGAGTACGGCCGGCCTGGGGCCGCCCGTCGGCGCCACAGTTTGGTTGCAGTTTTGATGGCGCGAGCCGCGCAACTAATCCTTTCGCAAAAGGTGTTGGAATCTGCCTCCCCCCCTCGGGCTTCACACCTGGTATGTTGGTCTTGTTTTCCGTGCCCGCTTCTGTACACCCGCCAATCCCAAAAATGAGCTCATGCTAGCACAGGCAGTCCCTTATCGGCACCCCGTTTTTTTCTTTTTTCTCAAAATACTATGCGCGCTCACCTGTTGATCGGAATTCCTAACTTTGAAACTCAAGAGCCCTTGGCAAAACAAACAAACAACGGTACAAAGTACACACGCGTGCGTCGTCGCGCGCGCATGGCGAAATCCTTCAAAAACCTCAGGTGTCGTAGCGATTTCCAAAACAACACATGTTTCGCAACCCAAATCTTCAATGAGTTAGCCAGGCAGAGGACGCAACCATATGCAGTTGTGAAAACCGTTGTTGTCTGCACCGCATTCGGATGATTTTGTCTGAAGGGCTACGAAACGTGTGAGAGGTGTGCCACACTGGGCGGGCTTGGGCGCAAGCGAACGCAACCACTGGGGCCGTCGGTGGAGCTCCCTATGGGGCCACGAGACGTGTGAGAGGTGTTCCCAAATGGGTGCGGTGGGTGGGCGCATGCGAACACAGCCACGAAACCATCGGTGAAGCTTCCGATGGGGCTACGAAGCGTGTGAGGGGTGTGCCAAAATGGGTGCGGTGGGCGCATGCGAACGCTGGCACTCGGGCCTTCGGTGGAGCTCCCTATAGGGCCACGAAGCGTGTGAGAGGTGTGCCAAAATGGGCGCGGTGGGGTGGGCGCATGCAAACGCAGCCACGGGGGCCGTCGGTGGAGCTCCCTACGGGGACACGGAGCGTGTGAGGGGTGTGCCAAAATTGGTGCTGTGGGCGCATGCGAACGCAGCCATGTGGGCCGTCGGTGGAGCTCCCTATGGGGCCACATTCGAAGGAAATTCTGAATTCCCCCCCGCCCCCGACATCGGTGTTGCTCTCAATGTAGGCAGTGCTTTTGGGGGCTCTAATACTTATGTTCTCTCACGCCCCCTCCTTCGTCACGCCAATCGGGGGGTCGGGGGGGGGGCATCTTGGGCCGCAGGATTCGAACAGAATGTCCACGTACGGTCCCCCATACCCCCTTCCCTGGACATGGGCGAGGGCGGGGACGGCGGGTTTGCGGCGAGGTCTCATCTGAGTCTGCGGTGGGGCGTCACTCCGGGGGCCCCCAGCAGCCTTCAAAAGTGGCGGCAGTCTGCCAGATCGCAGCCCCCCACCGAATCTGCGTCTGCAGTGCGACGCCACTCCTTTGTATCCCCTCGCAACACCCGAAAGACGACGGTTTCGCAGATCGCAGCCCCCTCCCCATGGGATGGCGAGGTCTAGCCTGAATCTACGGCGGGCCATCGCTCCGCTGGACCCCAAGCAGCCCTCGAAAGTGGCGACGGCTTCGCAGATCGCAGCCCCCCCAGGGACGGCGAGGTTTCATCTGAATCTTGGGCGGGCCGCAACTCCACTGGACCCTTCAGCAGCCCTTGAAAAGTGGCGGTGGTTTCGCAGATCGCAGGCCCCCTCAAGAGTGGCAAGGTCCCCAACCTGAATCTGCGGCGGGGCGTCAGTCCGCGGGACCCCCAACGGCCCTCGAGCGTGGCTGCCGTGTCGCAGTTCGCGGCCCCCGCCCACATCCACCTCCTCCTCGTCCTCCTCCTCGTCCTCCTCCTCCTCCTCCTCCTCCTCCTCCTGCTCCCGACGTGGATGTCGAGGTCTAGCCTGAATTTGCGGCGGGGCGCCACTCCGCTGGACCCCCCTGCAGCCCTCGAAAGCGGCAAAGGATCCACAGTTCACAGCCCCCCAGGGGAGGCAACATCCAATCCGAGTCTGCAGCGGGGCGCCCCTTCTGCTGGACCCCCAGCAGCCCTCGACCGTGACGGCGGCTTCGCAGTTCGCAGCCCCCTCTGAAATGGCGAGGTCTAATCCGAATTTGCGGCGGGGCGTCACTCTGCTGGACCCCTCCAGCAACCCTCGAACGTGGCGGTAGTCTTGCGGTTCGCAGCCCCCCACGGAAGGGATGGCGAGGTGACGTGGGACGGCGAGAGAAAGTCAGATTGGCAAACGAATGCAAACCAGGTAAAGGACAAGAGGTGGAGGCAAGAGGAGACAGGAGAGGGGTGGGAAGGTGGAGACCGCAGTGCTCTATCCAAAACGAGAACCCAACGCGAGAGGGTGGGGAACAGTTATTCATATCCAACCTTTCTCTGGCATGCAATATGCGCGCATATATGGATTCTTAACGAACCACGAATTCTCAGAAACTAATGCAATTTCAGCATGTCCTACCCCTGGCGCCACGCGGTCCTCTCGCGCGCACGTGTCAAAATCAAACGCCCTTGCGCGCTTGCTCGGGTGGGGCACGATCCCTGCCAAATCACACTACATGGGCCACTCGCGCGCGTCGGCCGCGAGCCCACATCGAAATCCTTCCAAGACCGTCATCAACGACACGTGGACATCATCATCGTCGCCAGCGTTGTCAGCACCTGCGCCGTCACTGGCCTTGCCGTCTTCATCATCGTCGTCACCACCATCGCTACATCAGCATCGTTGCCGCTGTCTCCGACGTTCATCGCGATGCCGCGCCCGCCCGTGCCACCGACCCGGATTTAAGAAACCGCGCTCCACGTCGGCCTTTGACGCGCGCTGGGACGTCGCCGTGGGCGGGCGCCACCGCGGCCGCGCATGGGCGGCGCCAAATCAGCCGGCCGCCCTGCGCGCGAGCTTGCTCGCGCGCCGCGGAGGGATCTGGGATCTCAGGGATCGCCAGGTGAACAAAAAACCAAGGGAACCAAACAATGAACGACCCATGAAAACGCTCGGGGGCGGCAAAGAGGGGGGTGTCCAAGAGCGGGGGGTGCAAATCATGACCGGCGGCATGTGCGCGGCCCATCGGGGGGGGCCAAAGAGGCGCCATGAAATCTGGGGAAATATCAGGGCCCCCGCCATGATATCCACCCCCCCCTAGTCATCACGCCCCTCCCTTCCGCCCCCGAAACGCGGATCGGCGCTGCACGCTGGAGGCGCAACTGGGGAGCTCCGGCGCCGCTCCGAGCGACGTCATGGTTTGCTCCCCTGGTGACCAGGGCCTGGTCTCCTCCTGTCCCCCTGGCCATCTCCGAGACCCCCGACCCTCTCGGGTCCTGAGCAGACCTCGCGGCGAGAAGTCCTCGATATGTTCTCCGCCTCTGGAGGCCCAACACTGGGCCTCGGGGCCGCCCGAAGACTGGCCAGGATGAGAAGCTGGCCCCTGGGAATGACGGTCGAGACTTCTGGAGGCCGGCGAGAGGAGGAGGAGGAGGAGGAGGAGGAGGAGGAGGAGGAGGAGGAGGAGGAGGAGGAGGAGGAGGAGGAGGAGGGAGGAGGGAGGAGGAGGAAGAGGAGGGTGAGGGGGAGGAGGAGGAGGCGGAGGAGGATGAGGAGGGGAGGAGGAGGAGGAGGAGGAGGAGGGGAGGAGGAGGAGGAGGGAGGAGGGGAGAGGAGGAGGCGAGGAAGAGGAAGGAGGCCCCCCCCCCCCCCCCACCGCGGCTCCATGCACGGCGGCACCGCGAGGAGCAGAAGGCACCCGGCACCGCCACCACGGACCAGGGCTCGAGCTAAACGGTGTGTTCCGTTCTCGCTTTGTCTCCGTCATCCCTGGTTCTGCCTTCGCCCCACCCTTGCTGCACAACGAAGCCAGAACGAAAACGGCCCACGAAATTGCTACATTTAAAACACCGTTCCGCTCGAGCCCTGCCAAGGACTGCCTTCAGAGAGAGAGAGGCCAGCGCCACGAGCACGCCCTTGCGGCCTCCGGGGGGGCCCGCGCCCCGAGGCGGCTGCGGTGGCGGCGCGCGCCGGCCGTGCACACGGCGCCTGCCGAGGGCGGCGGGGCGCCCGGCGCAGGTCGCGCGGCGGAGCGGCCCTGCCCTGCCAGAGAGCCCAAGAGGCGCCCTGCCAGACCAGAAGACCGGCCTCGACTGCTTCTATTGAAGGGGCCCTGATACACACACACACACACACACACACACACACACACACACACACACACACACACACACACACACACACACACACACACACACAAATCACAGGGTTCCCCTCATGCTCCGATATGTTCTGGGTTTATGTTTCCCCCCCGCTTCCCAGATTTCCCCACGTTTTCTCTGGGAATCGACGATTCATGGTGTCTGTGTGTTTTTCCCCTCGTGATATATAGGGGGCCAAGTAACAACATAAACCACAAAGAGAGAAGCTCAGCGGTCAGCGCGGATTCCTCGGACCGGCGCAGGGGGCCCCTGGCGGCGGCTCCGGCGTCGCCGGGGAGGGGAGTCCAGCGCCGAGCCAAGAAATCCGCGCGGACCTCAGAGTTTGGTAGCTTGTTACTCGACGCATGTCGGGGTCCTGGCGCTATTTGTTCCAGCCCTGCTGGAAGGTCAGCAGGCAGGGTGGCCCCTCAGAGGCCGAGCAGCGGAGCGACAGGACGGCCCCGCGCAGATCACTGGATGTCATAATTTGCCGGTCGCGATCGGCAGCTACCGATCGGCACTCCAAATCGGTCGCGGCCGATCACGACCGATTTGGATCGCGACCGAATCTGAAGCAAATCGGTCGCGACCGATGCCAGATTTTGAAGCCAAACCCGTCGCGACCCCGATCTCGCCGGTCTCGACCAGCGCAATGTGGACACTCGGGTCGGGCGAAAGGGGGGGATAGCAAAGGGGGGGTTTGAGCATCAGCTCACGTAGCTGATTTTCCCGGCGCCTCCCGGCGCCAGAGGCGGCTATGTATCAAGGAATGGGCCCCTCGGTGAGGCCGAAACCAGCTGCATGCAGCAAATTTCGTACCCCCCCCTTTCCCAATCCCCCCCTTTCGCCCGGCCCGAGACACGCGCGCGGTCGCACGGACACCTCCCCCGCGAGGCCGCGGACACCTCTACACGTCGGCGGCCAGGCAGAGCCCCCGCACCGGCGAGGAAGCGGAGCGGGGCAGGCGTGGAGCGCAGCGTGCCAGCGTGCGGGGAAGGGGGGGGGAGGAGACGACGAAGCGACGGCCGGAAGGGGGGGAGGCAGTGGCACGAGGGGGGGGGGGCCGCGGACGCAGGTCTGCTGCACGGTTCTTCGCGCCCACGAGCGTTGAGTCGGGCCTGTCCCCCTACAGGGGGACTTTCGACGAAAAATCACAAATATCACCAACAAATACCCCAAAAAGGTCAAACAATATTCAAACAAAAAGTCCCCAGACTATTTTTGGACTATTTTTTGACTATGTTTGGGGTACTTGTTATTGTTCGTCGACAATCCCCCCTCTGTAGGGGAGCAGGCCCGACTCCACACGAGCGGCGGGCGGCCCCCGAGGCCGAGCCGCGGAGCGAGCGGGCGGCCCCCGATCTCCCCGCGGCGCCTCGGCCCCGGCGGCGCGGCGCGCCGGCATGGCGCGGGGCGGGCGCGGGGCGCCGGGCGGGCGGCCGCGGCGCGGGGGCGGCGTGCACGGCCCTCCGAGAGCCGGGGCGCCGGGGCTGCGCGAAAAACACACAGTGGGAAAACACACACACACACACACACACACACACACACACACACACACACACACACACATGTGGGGAAAACACACAAAAACACACACACACACCACACACAACACCAACGTGTGTGTGTGTGTTTTGTGTGTGTGTGTGTGTGTGTGTGTGGTGTGTGTGTGTGTGTGTGTGTGTGTTGTGTGTGTGTGTGTGTGTGTGTGTGTGTGTGTGTGTGTGTGTTTTGTGTGTGTGTGTGTTGTGTGTGTTGTGTGTGTGTGTGTGTGTTGTGTGTGTGTGTGTGTGTGTTTTCCCCGCCGGGGCTGCGCAGGCGGGGCCGCAGAGCCAAGCGGGGGGCCCATGGGCGCCTTTCCACACGCCCCCGTCTGCCATGCCCCCGTCCACACTGACGACCTGCCAGACCACCCCAAGCCAACCCGAAGGCCCGAATTTCGGGTCGGGGGGGGGGTATGGGCTCCATGTGTGTTTTTTCGATGTTCCCGGACCCCAGCCCCCCCCACTTGAAATCGAGGGTGAATGTGAGCCTTCGGGTTGGGTTGGGGTGGTTTGGTGGGTGGTGACATACGGCGGCCAGGGCCCCCGAAAATGCGGAGCAGAGCCAAACGTGGAAATCGGCGTTCCCCGTGCCCGCGTTTGCTGTGCCCCCGTCTCCGGCGCCCCGAGGGCATGGCGGTTCCTTCGCGCCGGGCGTTTCGGGCCCCGGGACCCTCGCAGATCGCTCCGGCTCGAAAAGTGCAGCAGAGAGATGAGGTCCGGGGCTTCGATCGTGATTTGTTGTGCGATGCTTCGAATCTCCCGCGCCGTCGGGTCGCCGGGTGGGGCCCGAGGGGCAACTGCGGTCAGGAGCTGTTGCTTCGCGTGTCGCGGCGGCGACCCTGGCAACACGCAGGCGGACAGCGTGTGTCGCTCCGCGCCGCGGGACGGGAGGCCGGGAAGAGCTCGGGACGAGAGCGCTTGGGACCCGGGACGTGGTCGGGGTGTCGCGCCGAGGCGTGGTGGGCCAGAGCTGTTGGCGCGACGCGCTGATCAAAGAATCCTGCCCGTACACTCCGGTGCGCCGAGCAGGGGGGGTTAGCTCATCATGGCCCGAGGCACGCACGCGGACAAGGGGGGCCAGGGAACGCGTTGAGGAAGGAGGAAGAGCAGGAGGAGGAGGAGGGGGAGGAGGAGGAGGAGAAGGAGGAGGAGGAGGAGGAAAAGGAGGAGGAGGAGGAGGAGGAGGAGGAGAAGGAGGAGGAGGGAGGGGGGGGGGGCATGACATCTGGGGCGAGTGTTCGTGGACCCTCCTCGACGCCTCTCGCAGGTCCGAGGCCCCTCTCGCGGGCCAGTGCTGCGCCGCCCTCCTCGCGCACAGCCCCTTGCCCAGGAGCGCGGAGCGCCGCGGGGGGCGTCAGCGCTGGGGGCGCCGAGTTTTGGCGGCGCGCACAAGGGGGTGGATGCAGGCTCTACCCATTTTGGCTCAAGATGCAGGTTTCACGTTTCATGTTCTATCCAGATGCCTGCCCAGCGATAGCTGGCCGTGTAAAGATCTTAGCAGCGGACGCTTAAGCATTGCAAGACACGGGTCCGGCAGGTGGAGTGGAAGAAAATACATCAGGTTGTGAGTATAAGTCCATACTATAACCATCACCTTCAACAAGGGGGGAGGGGGGAGGGCTTCTTAGAAGCAGGCTTCTTCTTAGAAGGCGCCGGCCTTACATCTATAGAGAAGGCCCGCGCCTCCTAAGAAGCAGGGGTGCTTCTGAGAAGCCCTCCCCTCTCGCCCCACCCCCCTCTGCGCGTGGCTGAGAGTTGAGGGGGTGCGGGGATCGGAGATCGATTGTTTCATTTTTGCGCGACAGCGGCGGTTCCCAGTCCCGGCCCCTGCCCGCGCCCAAGGAACGTCACGATTCGTGCTGACCTCCGGGTTGCCTTCAGGTGTTCCTATTGCTATCCCCAGGGTCCGAGTTGCCTTCGGTTGTCCGAGGGTGCGGGAATTGAAAAAACTCTCGGGGGGGTGGGTCCAGCGCCAACGCGATAAATGCGCGCGGGCCTCCCGAAGTCTGTGTGCAAGCACTTGTCTGTCCCTCGAGGGGTGGATGGCCGAGCGCCCGATCCCGAGCGGCTGCCCTCGACGGCGCGTGCAGAGCGACGAGCGACCAGCTGGGCAACTTCAACATGCCGTGCTCCTGGCGGCAGGGGGTACTGCAGGGTGGAATCGTCCGCCCCCCCCCCCCCCATTCAGTCGCCAGAGCCATCATGACTGCGACCCCTTCGCTCGCGACGGGCCGACGCCTGATCAGGCAGCCCTGCAAGCCCCACCACGCCCGAGAGATCCTGGCCGTCTGGCTTTCGGGTCACACGTCGGGCCTCGGGCCGCCGTTGGTGGACGAGCCGGGCACGCACGGAACGCTCTCGGCGAGGCGCAGCTGCTGGAAAGCGCCCGGAGGCTGGGAAACTGCCCAGAGCCGACGAAGGAACCCACAAAACCTCGAACCTCGAGTCCCCTGCAGGTTATGAGCCCCCATTTTTTCGGCACGCCCAAGAAGAAATTCTGTGGACGAGCGTCGGGAGCCGTTGCCCAGACGCCGGGCAGCCGAGCGAGCAAACTGATGGTTCGAGCGCTGCGCTCATGATTCCAGCGACCGATCTTTCCGAATGCACCCAGCGACGATGACGGCAATAGCGATACAAGACACGATAGTACGGCGTACGGCCCGAAAGGGAAGGACAGCCAATCAAACAGGTCGTGAGAGCGCGGGGGGAGAGAAAGGGAGAGGGAGAGAGAGAGAGAGAGAATCACTGCTTGCGTGAATGATATCAGGAGTCCACTATCCACCAGAAGGCGTCCAGCAGCTGTGGCCACCATCGAGGCTATGAGCGTCACGTGGGCCTCACTGGCCCCTGATCTGGCTCCAGCCCGAGGCAGCAGCGGTGCAGCACGCGCAGATGGAGAGCAGGCACAACCATGAGTAATGCGGGATGACGATTAATAAAAAATGGGAGAGAACGATTAAAACATAGTTTTCTGCTATTTCTGCACAATTTTCTGACTGGAGGAAAACGATTAAACCAAAAGTTGTCCAGCCCGCGGCCGGTTTTTTCTAATCGTCATCCAGGGCGCCGCCGCGTGAACACGACCCCCGGTCATTTATTAATCGCCATCCTCCATTAGGGGAGAGAGAGAGAGAGAGGGAGAGAGAAAGAGAGAGAGAGGGAGAGAGAGAAAGAGGGATAGAGAGAGAGAGAGGGAGAGAGAGACGGAGAGCGGAGGAGGAGGAGGAGGAGGAGGAGGAGGAGGAGGAGGAGGAGGAGAGGAGGAGGAGGAGGAGGAGGGGCTCCTCGTCGGCACCCTGGCCCGGCAGGCTCTGCCCCGACGCCCCGGGCCCGGGCCCGAGAGCGCCCCCCGAGGCGCGGCGCTGTGGCTGGTCGGCGGCCGCCCGGCGGCCGGACGGCCGCCCGCTGCGCGCGCCGCGCGGCGCCCTCCGGGGAGCCCTGCAGACGGAGGGGCGGGGCCGAGTGCCAGGCCATCGCCGGCCGCCTCAAGCGAGAGGGCCACATCACTATCGCGGTCGGACCTTCCGTCCCTGGCCACAGAGTGACTACCTACCAGACCACCCCAACCCAACCCGAAGACCCGAATTTCGGGTTGGGGGGGTGTACGGGCTCCATATGTATTTTTTCGATGTTCCCCGACCCCCCCCTCACACTGGAAATCGAGGGGAAATCTGAGCCTTCGGGTTGGGTTGGGGTGGTTTGGTGGGTGGTGACAGAGGGGAGAGCGAGGTGCCCCGGCGCTGCGGCGGCGCGGGCGCGGCGGGCGGGGCCGTCGCGCCCGCGGTGCAGCTCTGCGCGGCCGAGGCGGGGCGCCCCTCCCCCGCCCTCCGCTGGGTGCCAGCGGACCCCTCGCGGGAGGCTGCCCTGGAGAAAGGCCTCGGCATGACGGCCCCCGGCGCAGGGGAGGCGGACGTGCTTCGTAGCGTTCGGCCTCCCGAGGGGGTCCTTCCCGGGGCCGGGGACAAGAACAGGAACAACTCCAATGCAGAACCCGTCCCGGGAAGGTGGTCGAGAGGTCAGGGGCTGGTCCCCTCCGGCCTGCGGGCCGCAGCCCCTGCCTGACCCAGACCGAGGGGAAAACAAAACTGCGACGGCCGCTCCCGGCTGACTTCGCGCTGCCGGGGCGGCGGGCGCGTGCAAGATCACGCCGTAGTGTCAGGAGGAGGAGGAGGAGGAGGAGAAGGAAGAGGAGGAGGAGGAGGAGGAGGAAGAGGAGGAGGAGGAGGAGGAGGAAGAGGAGGAGGAAGAGGAGGAGAGGAGGAGGAGGAGAGGAGAGGAGGAGAGGAGGAGGGAGGAGGAGGAGAGGAGGAGGAGGAGGAGGAGGAGGAGGAGGAGGAGGAGGAGGAGGAGGAGAGGAGGAGGAGGAGAAGGAGGAGGAGGAGGAGGAGGAGGAGGAGGAGGCCCGTGCCTCGAACAAAACGAAGCGATGGACTGACTGAGGAGCTGCTGGGTCGACTTGTGCGCAGCCCTCGGCGCGCGAGGCGAGAGGGTCGCTGACTCCGCGGTGGAGGCCCTCCACGCGCAGACCGTGTGTGCGGTGGGCACTGCTGACTTCGTGGGGCGGGCGGCTGCGAGGGTAAGCTCGGCCTGTGCAGGGGCCGCTCGACGAGCGCGGCAAGCTGGCGAGGAGGACCCCGCCATTCACGCTGACCCGCCACGTCTACCAGACTCGCGGCACCTTCGGGGTGCCGTGTGTGCGCTGCGGCAGCTCATCACTGGCCGTGCAAGTGCTCCACACCGCGTCTGTTGCCTGAAGCCGCCTGCGCTTCCCTCATCCACCAATTCTCTGCGGTCGGGCTCTGCGGCCACCCTCTTCTCTTCCTGCTGCCCTAGCGCCCCGCTGGCCATCGCTCGGACGTCCATTCCCTGTGTGTTTTGTTGGTTTCGTGCGTGGTTTTTTCGCCAAATAATCAAGGATGCTCCTCGATGGTCCTCGCCGAAGGAAAAATGCATACGTCCGAGCGATGCCAAGCCCGCGTGTTCCGCCAGTGCCGACCCCCGTGCCTGCGTCCGCAGGCGCTGCCGATTGAGACCCGCGCTGCCGAGGCCAGAGACCTCCCGGACCGCAGGCCGCGCGGGCCCTCGGAGCTGGGGCGGGGCAGCCGAGGGCGGCCGCAGCAGCTCGGACCACAGGCTCCAGTCCCCTTGCCCAGCGTCGGCGGCGGTGGAGGCGGGGCCGCGGGCGGCGCAAACCTTCGCGCCCAATGGGGGGGGGCCTTCGAAGCCCCACCCCCTGGCCTTTGAAAGGGGGGGATCCAGCCCCCCCTCCCCCGCGCCCTGCCTGCCTTCCAGCGTGCTCAGAAGACGCTCTACGAACAGATCCATACTAGATGCAGAAGGACTCAGCGAAAATGAACCGCAAGGACGAAGAGAGTATAAGAGTGTAAGGCGTGTAGAATGGCCTAATTACAAGCAGACGTGGCCCGAGAAAACGAGACAAATGCACGAACATGCCCAGAATCAAAGGATAGACGGATCCCTTGCTTCAACGGCTCATGGTGAAAACTGGATTTATCGTAACACTTCTATCCCCAAACCCGTAAAGAACATGCTCATGCCCTGTAGGAAGCCATGACCTTCTCTGGTGGGTTTAAAATGATGGCTGGTAACTCCATCCTCTTGCCCAGCGTGCCGATCTGCTGATACGTGCAAAAAGAATGCAGAGTCTGTTCAACGCTATCTACTTCGTGTACGTTGACTGTTGCATACATGTCTACCTGTGTGGGCTGCCCGATGATATCGAAGGGCTTGCTGCTAAAAAAACGTGGTGCTCGACAGATATCGTCCCAGGCATGGAGGGCATGAACAAAGGACACGAAACAAACTACGGCCATACACAATATCTTGCATGCCATCGGGCTCTCAACCCGCGGGTTTCGCCTCGGTGGCTAGCAAGTTTCCTATGCTGCCCCTGGTCTCGACACGCTGGGCTTTGCAAGAGGCCCCCTCCTCCACACCCCAAAACCACTTTCTCGTGGCACGCTTCAGGGTTGCGCACGAACAGCCCCTGCAGGCAGCCTCAGCCGCCCCCAACAGGTCCACACAGTACGGCGGTCCCAGCTCTCACCCTCGAGGTTCGGATCGCACTGGGGCGTAGATGTGGCGATGGATGGGCTGTCTGTACGCAACCATTGGCGTTGCCAGCTTCCCCATGGCTGTGCTGCAGCGCACACATGCCTGTTCGCAGTGGTTACCTGTGGCGGCAGACGAGTTGAGGCATGATCTCGGCGCGAGCAGGGACGCCGCCCAGGAGCCCATGCACAGAGCTGGCCCAGCCCTGAGGGGGGGGAGGAGAAGCAGGGCGAGAGGATGTGCACAGACTTTTCTTCCCGAGTCAGAAGCGCAGGCAGTGAAGCTGGAAGCTACGTTCACGGTCGAGCGCTCCGCTCCGGTTGACTGCCTAAGACGTCCAGGCAACTTGGACGGAGGAGGGAGACTGGAGTGGAAGCGGAAGTGGGGGAGTGGCAGGGGGGACGCAGAGGACGTGGAGCAGCAGGGCGACGGGGGGAGGATCACGTGATGCGAAATCGGGAGGCGGAACGCGGAGCAGGAGCGAGGAGGGAGGAGCTGGAAGGCTGGGAGGAGGGAGGGCAGGGGGGAGGAGGGGGGGCAGCAGGGGGGGGGGGGGAGCGCGGGGAGCGGGAGGCAGGGACATGAAGAGCGAGAAGAGGCAGGGGGGCGGGGCACGCAGGAGCGGGTGGGGGGCGTTCGCGCGGGCCCCCCCTGCGCCAGCTGCCCCCGGAGAGCGCGCCCGAGGGCCCTGCGGCCCCGGTGGCCCCGCCCCGCCCCCGGGCCCTCAGGGGCGCTCAGACGAAGTCGGCGGGCGGCTCCCCGTCCGCCTCGTCCTCTTCTCCGCGCCGGGGCTTTATCCATGCGTGCGAGGCAGCGTTGGGGTTTTAAGTCGGGCCTGTCCCCCTACAGGGGGATTTTCGACGAAAAATAAAAGATGCCTTCAAATAATCAAAAAATACCCCCAAAATAGTCTGGGGACTGTTATTGGACTGTTTTTGTTGACCTTTCTGTGGTATTTTTGTAGTGTTTTTTTCATTTTCCGTCGAAAATCCCCCTGTATGGGGGGCACGCCCGACATAACGTTAGGGGAGGGGGGGGGGGCAGCTTCAGGGCCGGAGCGTCGACCTGGCGTCGGCCACACGTCGCCGAGAGATCGGCCACACGCCCCCGATGGCGAACGCGCTCGTTCCCGAGCTGGCTGGGCCATGGGGGCCCTGTCGGCGATGAGTGGGCGTTGGGGGGGTCGATGCAGACCCTGACCACCTACCAAACCACCCCAACCCAACCCGAAGACCCGAATTTGACCCATTTCGGGTTGGGGGGGGGTACGGGCTCCACGTGTTTTTTCGATGTTCCCCGACCCCCCCCCACTGGAAATGGAGGGCAAATCGTGGCCTTCGGGTTGGGTTGGGGTGGTTTGGTGGGCGGTGAGACTCCCCTGGAGCCTCTCCTCCCCGAGCGTCGCCCCCGAACGCAGGCCCGCGCGGTGAGCCCTGAGGCGGAAAGAAGGCGTTCGCCTCTCGGAGTGTGGGGGCGGTCTCTGCTTCCACCGCCTTCCGCCGACCTTGCCCTCTCTAGCGCGGCCAGTGTGCGCGAGGGCGAAGCCGTTCAACGCCGGCGGCGGTCGGGGGGGAGGGCGGGGAATACGGTTGTGGGCCCCGTCCAGGGGCCCTAGATCTGTCCCAAATATGCGCGTTCCACCAAAGCACCGACCAGCACATCCAGAGGATGCTGAAAGGCGGCCGAAATTCTTAGCCAGCGCGCACACCCACCGACCTGGAGACACTCCCTCAAGGGTCCCACGGAGCGCTGAGTGTGGATACCTCCTTCCCGCCCGCTGAGGGTGGGGAGGGGTCCACATCCGGTGCTCCGTTCGGGGGGATGGAAGGGTAGGACAGCAAAGGGTGGGGTAGAGAATCGGCTCCCGCAGCTGTTTTGCCAGCGCCTCCTGGCGCCGGGAGGCGCCTGTGCATCGAGGAATGGGCCCGGCGGCGGGGCCGAAACCACCTGCATGCGACAGATTTCGCACCCCACCCCTTCCCAACTTTCCCGAACTCTGCCCTCTCGTCCGCCCCGAGCCGTCAGACACTCGGGGAGGCGCGCCTCCTCCTCCAAAGAGGAGGAGGAGGAGAAGGAGGAGGAGGGGGAGGAGGAGGAGGAGGAGGAGGAGGAGGAGGAGGAGGAGGAGGAGGAGCAGGAGCAGGAGCAGGATGATGATGATGATGATGATGATGATGATGATGATGATGATGATGATGATGATGATGATGATGATGATGATGATGATGATGATGATGATGATGATGATGATGATGATGATGATGATGATGATGATGATGATGATGATGATGATGATGATGATGATGGATGATGATGATGATGATGAGATGATGATGACGACGAGGAGGAGGAGGAGGAGGAGGAGGAGGGTCGGGTCCTCGCAGCTCGCGGCGACGTGCTCCCGGCTGCCCGAGCCTGCTCGCTGGCGCTGCGGCTGGCACCTGGGCGCGACGCAGCCCTCGGCGTGGCAGACCGGCGGGCGCAGCGCCGCCGAGAGCGCCCGGCGCAGCGGGGAGGGCCCGCGGCAGGGCGCCGCACGCCTCGCGGCCTCGCCCGCGGCCCTGGCGGCCGAGCCGGCCAGGGCCGCCGCCGCGGCCCTCGGGCTGGCGATGGCGGGGCCGCAGGACCGCAGCCGCCTGCGGAGGGGCGACTCCTGCCTCTGCGGCTCGGCGGCCGCGGCCGGCGCCTCCTCGGAGGCCTTCCGGCGGGCCGCCTCGGCGCGGCCCTGCGAGACCGTGGCCGCGTCCGCGCCGGCCAGCTCCGCCCTGCGGCAGGCCTCCTCGATCACGGCGGCCGCGGCCCCGCTTCTGGTGGCCTCGCGGAGCTCGGCGCAGGCGCGCGCTGCCAGGGCGCTCAGGTCGGAGCGCGCGTGGGAGACGAGCTCCGCGTCGACGCCCATCGCCTCCGCCCTGCGGCACGCGTCCAGGAGGACCTGGGGGTCGCTGCTCCAAGACGCGTGGGACAGCTGCAGCTCCGCCTCCCTGCGGAGCGCGCGCGCCTCCGCGCGCCCCCTCGCCACCGTGGCCGTGGCCACGCCTGCGGCCTCGGCCTTGGCGCAGGCGGCGTCAATGCCGACGGCATCTCCGGTCCTCCTCGCCTCCAGGAGTTCCAGCTCCGCAGACGCGCGCATCTGCCTCACGGCCACGCGGCCCCTCTCCACCAGCGTGGCATCCACGCCCGCACGCTCCGCACGGCGGCACGCCTCCTCCAGCCTCACGGCGCTGGGGCCTCCCATCGCCCGCTTCACCTCCGCAGCAGCCCTCTCCAGCAGCCTCCGCGCATCGTTGCGCGCGGCCTCAACGACGACGTCAGGCACGCCCATGGCGGCCGCAGCGGCGCAGGCCTCGTCTATGAGGGCGGCGTTCCCTCCCCGCACCGCGTCCGCCAGGCTGTCCTCTGCCACCTGCAGCAGCCTCCTTGCCTCCGCGGCGCACTTCAGCAGCACAGCCTCCTCCACGCCCGCAACCTCTGCGCGCTGGACCGCGCGCTCTATCTGCAGGGGCAGGCCGGCGCGGATCGCCTCCCGGAGCTCGTTGTTGGCCTCCGCGAGAATGCGGCAGGCGGCGGACCTGCAGTGCAGCACCGTCGCGCTGCTCACGCCCCTCGCCTCGGCTCTGCAGCAGTGCTCCTCGATGAGCGGGGCACTCCCGCTCTTCAGGGCGTCGAGCAGCTCTTCCCTTGCGCTGCTTGCCTGAGTGCTTGCCTCTTCTGCTGTGGGCTCCTCCCCTGCCGCGTCAAGGACCTCTCCTGAGAGCTGGCCAGCGCTCGCCTGCAGCGCCGTGTGCGAGCCTTCTGAGACACCACACTCACTGTGCGTGTTGCTGTGCCCGAAGCTGCGAGATCCCTGCGACGTCTGGCTTGTGACAGCACCTGGTACACCAGGCGCTTTGACTGCACCGGCGGCCACCTCCAAGCCCTCCTCGGGAGCTGGTAGGCTCGCCTCCTCTGCTTCCCGCCAAGTTTGCGGCTGCGCGCCGGTCGGAGGATGGACATCCACCGACCCCTTCGGATTCATCGGCAAGTGAGATGCTTCCCCCTGCCCGAACCCCTCCCTCGGGAGCCCGGTCTGGTCGATTTGGAAGGGGGGGGGGTCCACCAGGGACCCACCGAAAGCGATCGCGAGGTACAGAGGGACCCCAAACAGGCCAAGAGGGCCCCAAGATGCCCTCTGGACGGTCCAAGAGGGCCACGAGCCGCCGACAGATTGAAGCGCTCACGCTGGCCTGCAGACGGCCCATGCGGCACCCGAGATGCTCCAAGAAGCCCTCAAGCGGCGTCCCACGACGGCCTCCAAGAGAATCAATCGCTCATTTTTAACACATTCGCATCTAATGCGTTCACAACGTCCAAAGCGGGCCCAAGAAGCCTCCCAGATCGCCCCAAGACAGCCCAAGAGGCCCGCAAGAGGGCTCCAGACGACCCAAGAGGACCCCAAGACCGCTCAAGAAGCCCCCAAGACGGCCTAGTGGGGCCCGGGACAGCTCCAAGCCCATAGGGGGAACCCGAACGGACATTTCGAGCCGTCGACCCCAAATCGCCCCGAGTGGCTCCAAAAAAGCAGCCGAGAGGCTCCCGCCGACCAGCCACAACTGGGGGAGCTGTGGTCCTTACCCCCCTGGGGGAACCCATCGCGTCGACGATCTCTCGAGAGGGGTGTCGAGATCGATGGGTCCCCCAGGGGGGTAAGGACCACAGCTCCCACAGTTGTGGCTGGCCTGTCCCAGGAGGCCCCCAAGAGGTGCCCGAACGCCCCCGAGACGCCTCCCACCAGCCCCCATATCCGCCATCCGCGTGGCCTCCGACCCGCAGGCCGGGCACGGTGGCGGCATGCGCCGAAGGCCATTCCAGAATTAAAAAGAGCTTCAAGAAGCCAAAGGGCGCCCAAGAGGCCCCCAGGAGCAGCACAGAACAATCGGGTCGGGCGAAAGGGGAGGTTAGCAAAGGGGGGGGGGGGGGGGGCGAATCAGCTCACGTAGCTGATTTTCCCGGCGCCTCCCGGCGCCGGAGGCGGCTATGTATCGAGGAATGGGCCCCTCGGTGAGGCCGAAACCAGCTGCATGCAGCAAATTTCGTACCCCCCCCTTCCGAATCCCCCCCTTTCGCCCGGCCCGAAACAAGCGCCAGTCCCCCAAGTGGTCGGCGGTGCGGCGTCAGCCTAAGACTCACCACGCGTGCCAGCTGCTGAGCTGGGCGGAGCCGGACCTGCGCCCGGCGCGTGGCCTCTGTACAGGGCCTGCTCGAGCCCGTCTGCAGCGCCTGGCATCAGCCGCCGCACCTTGTCACCGCAGAGAAGGGGGGACGTAAGACTCGGGTTCGGGGGACTCGGGTTGGCCTGACGGGGCCACCATGGAAATGACGAGACCCGCTCCGAAATGTGGCGCGAGCTCCCGCTGCACAAACACCCCCCGGCCCGAGAACCGCACCCTCCACACCCGGGGCGCGCCCGTCAAAAAACTTCGGCAAACCCGAGTTCCGGCTTCCCCGACTCGAGGAGCAGAGGGAAGGAGGAGGAGGATGAACAGCGGGGAGGAGGAAGGAGGAGGGAGGAGGAGAGGGGAGGATGGAGGAGGAGCAGGATGAGAAGGAGGAGCAGGAGGAGGAGGAGGAGGAGAAGGAGGAGAAGGAGGAGGAGGAGGAGGAGGATAATGGGGGAGGAGGGGAGGAGAAAGAGAGGAGGAGGAGGAGGAGGGAGGAGGAGGAGGAGGAGGAGGAGGGAGGAAGGGGGTAGGCGGAGGAGGGAGGAGGAGACGAGGCGGAGGATGAGGCGGGGAGGGAGGGAAGGAGGATAAGGAGGAGGGGGGCGAGAAGGACAAGTAGCAGGAGCAGGAGGAGGAGACAGACCTCGTCGTGCGCCTGCCGCAGACGCTCGCTGCCAGCACCCGCCGCGGTGGCCTCGGCGCACGCCCGTGCGAGGAGCACTGCGTCGCCCGAGCCCATCACCTCCACAAGCGATACCCTCTCCTCCTCCCTCCTCCTCCTCCTCCTCCTGCTCCAAAAAAAAAAAAGTCCTACCTCCTCCTCCTCCATCCTCGCCTCCTCCTCCCCCTCTCCTCCTCCTCCTCCCTCCTCCTCCTCCTCTTCCTCCTCCTCCTCCTCCTCCTCCTCCTTCTCCTCCTCCTTCTCCTCCATCCTCCCCTCTTCTCCTCCCTCCTCCTTCCTCCTCCCCGCTGTTCATCCTCCTCCTCCTCCTTCCCTCTGCTCCTCCTTTACCTCCCCCGCCTCCAGCCTATGTATCCGTTCTCCGTCTGAATATAACTCCTTCCTGTCGTACCACTTGGCGCGCCTCGTTAAGGCGGTCTGGGCGCTTCGCCTCAGAATTCCTCGCCGCTACCGGTTCCAAGATCAACCTTTCCAACAGTCACGCGCATCGAGGACGGGCCGCTTCCAAAATGAGGCTTTCGCCCAAGCGCCCCGCACGTTCGACCTAAGCACTGATTCGCCAGGAACGCGGACGCGGGCAGGTTGTTTTCAACATGGGACTCGCACATTTGCGCCGCGCACGCTCGTCATAAGCACTGCCAGCGGTCACCTGGGTAGAAGGCGATTCCCTTTCAACATGGGGTTCTCGCCTGAAACTTCCTCAATTATCGAAGCTCCCAACTGTGCGACAACTACGCAGAAGCAGGGCGGCTCGCTCTCGCTTCGGACTTCCTCCACTTGTAATGCCAGACGCTGGGCATCGTGCAAAAGCGATTACGGCTCGAGGGCGGTGCCCTCTCAAAGCGAAGCTTTCGCTGCGGACATCCTCAGGATGCATGTCCAGACATCCACAGTTGCGCACAGCTCTACCACGAAGAAGTGGAACACGACTTCGCCCCCTGGCGCCGCGCACGCTCGGCATGCAACATCAGGGCGGGCGGCCACCAACATGGGGCGCTCGCCTCGGCGCCACGCACGCTCGTCTCGCACGAGCTCAGCTGTCTCACAGATGGAGGCCAGCTCCTGCACATGGGGCTCTCGCCTGCAACTTCCTCATCTGTTCCTGACGTGTGCGAGTTCGCCGTCCTCGTACGGATGCAGGGCGGTGCCCTTGGGAAGCGGAGCTCTCGCATCAGCCTTCCTCCATGTATCGTGCCAGACGTTGTGATTTGCATAACAGCTACACGCATGAGGGGCAGAGCCCTTTCTCAACGGGGCTTTCGTTGCGTGTGTCCTGAAGTTCGATTACCAGACGTTCTCACAAGTCTCCAACAGGGATAGAGGGCGACGCCTTATGCAAACCTGCTTTTCGCATCAAACGCTGTCAGATCTCATGTCCATAAATGTGTGCCGGCTACGCGGATGGAGGGCGCCTCCTTCGGGTCAGCGAAGCTGTCGCTGGACATTTCCTTGAACTTACGAGTCCCATGGGGCGTTCGCCTTTCAAGGGGTCGATTCCCGCAGTGAGCAGGCTTCCTTGCAGGGATTCGTAACGAGGGAGCTTTGCACGGAAGAGTATATTGAAGCATACTTGATACACATGTGGTTTACTCTGGTAGTCTGCCTCCTCCATCCTCCGCGACCTCACACTCCTCCGCGTTCTCCATGCAGGTTCTCCTTTTCCTCCTCCTCCTCCTCCTCCACATCCTTTCTCCTCCTGTTTATCCTGCAGCGCTCGTTCTCGTCTTCGTTCTCCGCCCCCGAGCTGCGCACCTCCACCAGCCATGCCTCCGCGCGCAGCCGGCGCACGGCAGCCTCCACCTCGGCATCGGCGGCGCCCCAGTAGTAGCCCGAGAGCGCGGCAGCCCACCGCAACTCCTCCTGTGGTGACCCGACGAGAGGCAGCTGCTGCCGCCTCCCCGGCAAGAGAGACAGAGAGAAACACCCGCCAACCCCTCCTCCTCCTCCTCCGCCTCCCCCTCCTCCTCCTCCTCCTCCTTCTCCTCCTCCTCCTCCTCCTCCTCCTCCTCCTCCTCCTCCTCCTCTTTCTCCTCCCCCGGGGTGCAGACCATGGCCGGCGGCATGTGCGCGGCCCGGCGATGGGCCCAGGGACGTAACGAAAGCACGAAGAGGCGCCACGAAATCTGGGGAGATATCATGGCCCCCGCCATGATATCCCCCCCCCCCTAGTCATCACCCCCCTATGCCGCCCCCGAATTACAAGTTGGGGGTGATTCAATGATGTAGTCGATCTCCGACTCGAACCTTGAGATCGGGGCGAGGAGGAGGTGGAGGGGGACGAGGAGGAGGAGGAGGAGGAGGAGGAGGAGGAGGAGGAGAAGGAGGAGGAGGGAGGAGGGAGGAGGGAGGAGGGAGGAGGAGGAGATTGCCGGCAGATTGCCGGCCACCCCCCCCCCGGCAGGGTCCCGCGGGGGGAGGTCGCCAGCGGGGGTCGCCGGGGAGAGCTCGCCCGTGGTATGGGGGCGGGGGGGTCCTCGGGCCGGGACGCCGCCCCCCCCTCCCCGCGGGGTCCCTGGTGGGTCTGGGGGAGGGCCGCCCGCAGAGGTCCCCCGGGGAGATCCCGCCTGCGGGAAGGGGCACCAGGACACACACACACACACACACACATACATACATGCATGCATGCATGCATGCATGCATGCATGCATATATACATACATGCATGCATACATGCATACCTGCATACATACATACATGCATACATGCATGCATGCATGCATGCATGCATGCATGCATGCATGCATGCATGCATACATACATACATACATACATACATACATACATACATACATACATACATACATATATGGATATATACACACAAGTAAGAGGATTCCCCCTAGATGTTCCCATATCTTCTGGGCTTTTGTCTTCCCCCCACTTCCCATAGTTTCCCATATTTTCTCGGGAATCGACGACTCATTGTGTCTGTGTGCTTTTTCCCCTCCTCACTGTGGTGGGGTGGGGCTGCTCCTGGGCTTCGAAGACCGCTCCCCCGTCCGGGGTCCGGGCGGGCCCTGGAGGGGGCAGGGGGTCGCCCTGCTGGGCTTGCGGCGGGGGTCCTGGGCGAGGTGCCGCCTTCTGGTCGGGGGGGGGGGGGTCCTGGGTTAGGCCACCGCCCCCCAGGGTCGCGTCGGGTCCGCAGGGGTCCCGGGGGAGGTCCCGCCTTCAGGATCGGCAGCACCAGCCGTCCGGCCTCCGCAGTAGGCAGAGGAGGAGGACATGTGTCACGATCCGTAGCGCCTGAAGGCGTTGAGAGCTGCCAGTGACAAGCGATAAAGCTCTGGAAGCCCCAACGATGCTGAAACGTTGTGGAGAATTCGGCGCTCCTCGCTCCTCACCCCTCTCTACGCTCTCATCATCCACCGTTCACCCAGTCCTGCTCCGCTTGTCCATCCTGGTCTCCGTCCTCCTCATCGCCATCGTCCTCTCCCACTGCTTCAACTCATCTTCCTACTCCTGCTTCTTCACCTCTTCCATCTCCCTGTCTTATCAATATCATTGCCATCCCTTTCAGACTTGCCCTCCTCCTCTTCCACCCTTCCGTCTCCTCGTCCCCTCCATCGCCAACAATACTGTTGTCTTCCTCCCCTCGTCCTCCCCATCCTGCTCCTGCCTTTCCTCGCCTCCTTCTCCCCTCTCCCTCGTCTTCCCTTCGCCCCCTTCGCACCCCCTCCTCCATCCCCCCCCCTCCTCCGCAGGAAACGTCGCACCCCCGCGCCTCGGTACGGATCGGAAGTGCGCCCCGTCTCCACCGTCATCCTCGTCGGCATCGCAGGAGCGCTCGTGGTGCGTGTCCGTTCGGCCATCCGCACCCCTCGCTGCAGGATCCTGCAGCATCCGGTGCCCTGGCTGACCCCTGTTTGCATTAACCCCCGTCTCGAGGCTCCCGAGGGCCAGCCGCCCTCTTCGGCCCGGCCCCCCCCCGGGCGGTCCTCGTCCAGGTGGCGCGCGCGCACCGCGGAGGCGAGCAGGCCCCTGGCGCGGGCTGGCGGAGGGGGGGGGGGAGCGCGGGAGCGCTCGCCCCCGGGGGAGGAGGGGGAGG